CATTCCAAGCGGAACCGGTCTTCGAGCGCGAGATAAGACAATAACCGTTGAGTCAAAGCGTCGCCGAAGCGGTCGACGGAGTCTTTGCGGCCGACTTCCGGTGCGTTGGACTCGCCTTTGATGGACAACCCCTGGAGTGACAGCTCTTTGTCGCCGACTGAAGACATCTTTGGACACAAAACCCGCGAAACCAATGAACCAAATGCTAGCCATCGGCGGTAAAGACAATGAGATAATGGCAACTAAACTATACATTCATTTCACGTGACTTACCGTTGAATACAATACTCGCTGTGTTTGCAGTCAATGCACACAAACACTGCAATCAAATGAGACCAATATTTTTGGGACACGTTTTGCTGTATTGAAAGGCTTTTCGCATTCAAATCATTGGATCAAATGAAACGACATTTTAATTAACGATTTCAATTGAAATGATGTGTAAAGCAAGCGATGAATGAATGAAATTGTTGTGCAAATCACACAAAACCAGAGCCACTCATAAAAACAAGAGCCACATGTTTGCCATAAGTGCGCCAAACTGTGTTAACTGGTTATGCGTGAGAAGCCGGGAATCGAGTGTCAGTTAAATCGTTTTGATGCGTGTGTTGAGCGTACGCTAAGTCCAATACAAACGTCAATACAGTTATTGTGCGAAATATGCGCTCAATTTGAATGACTATTATTCAATAGTTTAGTATTTAATTGATTATTATCTTACAAATACATTGATTATTAAATAATAACCAATGTATAATAACCAAGTTCATATAATTGTTAAAACTTTAAATATCATACAATGACAGAAAAAAAGTTTTTTTAATACCAAGTTTTAATACCAAAAATATTTGCATTAAACATTAAAATGCTTAACTCTATGGTCTCATTATATGATTATCTCATTAAACACAATAAAAACGACAACATTATGCCGATACTACGGTAAATAGTACGCATAGGACTGGTATGTATCGGACAACAAATTTCTACTATTCATAGAAATCTCGACAATTTTCGGACACTTTTGGCCCGAATTCTGGACTAAGAAGTCAACCAACTCTTGGCCGCCATCTACTCGTATGGTTCGCATTGTCGGCCACTTTGAGGTCAACGTCAAGTCTCCAAGACTTCGTTTCAAACCATTCAGCGATTCACTCATTAGTATGAAAGGCGACGACAATAACGATGACATTTGCGGACGTTTTCATTGCTTAAAGTTTGTACCAATTGTTTGTACCATTTGAGTGAATGTTTTGCTGGACGCGATCCTCAAATTAAGTGACAGTCTCTTGAGTTTCGCGTATTTAGTGCCCATTTGTATCAATTGGTTCACAACTATAGCGCTTAATGTGTCTCTAAAACAACAAATCTGTAAATCAATTAATGCCGACATTAGTGACAAANAGTTGCGCCGAAGTCACCAAAATAGCCGTTCAATACGATTATCACAACTATTTTGGCGACAATTTACTGCATCTGATGAGCGGTGACGACGACAATGAGGTGCTGTTCCCGAAGCTGAAGGCAATGGACTTCGTGTTCGCCGCGCACGACATCAACCACTTCGAGACGTTTGTCCGGAACTACGGCCAGAGATTGACCGCAATTGAGGTGACAGTCGATGAGAGGAACTGCGACGACAAGGCGATGGCCGTCCTGTTGGGCGGTGTGTCGCGGATGCCGGCCCTCAAGGACCTCAAGATCGCCAGCAGTTCCATCGACTCCATGGACTCATTGCCCACGCAATTGAAGCAAATCGGCCTAAACTGCGCTCAATTGAAGCGCCTGTCGCTCGACCTGAACACGAAGTCCAACAAAACCTTCCGGCAGACCATCCAAACGATTAACGATAACTACCGACGCATTCGGCGCCTGGAGTTCAGCGGAAACCCGACCAAAGAGTTCGTACTAATGAGCGACTCGTTCAACGGGTTGACCCGTTTGTCGCACCTGACGCTACTGAACGTGACGTTCCTGTTCGTCAACCAAATACACGACTCGTTCCCACGGCTTCAGTACCTGCGCCTCCGGAAAGTGAACATCTCGGACGACGTCCTCGAGTTGGTCTCGAAGTTGCCTCAAATGCGGACCATTCGTCTGGACGGCGGCCAAGACTTCGCCGATACGGCGCTCCACCAACTCATCGCCAGTTGCCTCAAGATTGTCGAGATCTCGATGAATAGTAGCGTCAAAACGGTTTGATCGCTGAATCTGTTGTCTAAAAACAGTACTGAAAAACAAAACTTTTTAATTTCACTTTTAATTTAATTAAAACAATTTTATTATAAAAAAAATCGGATTAAAAATCGACCCTTTTTTCTCATAATTTAATTTTTTTAGTTTTTATTTTCGAGTTTCTTTTTATTTCAATGGAATGATTGTTATATTCAATAATTAATTATAATTATAATTATAATAATAATTATATTTATATATATGTTTTCATTCATTTTAAAAATATGCGAAATTATCATGAAATGTATGAATGAAAATAAAAAACACTTAAAATTGTCATAAATTAAACATAATGTCAGACATAATCTGCTTTTGATTTTAAAAAACAAAATTAAAAAAACAATTATTTTCACAATAGTTTTGGTCATTAAAAAAAACAGTTCAAAAAACATTTTGCTTTCAATTATTACAATATAAAAGGGTTTTGTTAACTAAACTCCGAGAGACAGTCATAAAAAATGAACTCAAAAATGAACACAAAAATTATTTTCCGTATGTTTTCTCAAAACGCTTTTATAATCAAATGAATTGAATCTTTAAAAATACTTTTAAGTCATAAAAAGTTTTTGTTTTGTTTTGTTTTGTTTTGTCAGTATTTCGTATTCACACTTAAAATCATTAATTTGTCGCTTAGTTTCCGATTTTATACGATTAAAGCCATGGATTAGTGGGTCGGGGGGAGCAGAGGGTTGTGGATCGGGGGTAAAGTGTGGCCCTGATTATACTATATAACAAATGGCTGAGCACGTGGTTTGTGAGCACCGACACCTTTGACACCCCCTTCTTAATACACATCGAGTGACAAACACTACTACAGTATTCCTATAAATAACGCTAAGCTAAACCTATCGGTAACCCCACGGGTTAGCCCTCCCCCCGAGTGGTAATGGCCGGTAAGGGGGTCTCGGGTAGAGTTGAAGGCAGACATAATCACAACTCCCTGTCCTATTGAGCCATAACTGTTATTAATCACAAACCCCTGCCGTATGAGCTCTAGAATTGACTTATATTTTACACAATTATATTATTGGTGGGGTTTACGGGTTGTCTGTGACCAGTGGGGGGTTATATTTATAAGCACAGGCCTCCCATTCCCAGCCACCCATGGCTTTGCACAAAAAGCATATCAAATATGTGACAAAAATAGCAAATCAAATAATTATTCAATTTTTAAAAAATCTTAATCTCAGACATGATATACTCGACTGAATCGTTAGTTTTTGGGAAATAATTGTAATTAAAAGATGCAAAACAATTTGTTTTGTTTAGTCTTTTTTGTGTCTATTTTCAAATCAATTTTGTTGTCGTATTTCGCATATCATATCAACTGATCTGTTGTGACAATTGGTGTCGATGGATGTCATGAATGCAATCATCACAACGAATGACAATAACAGTAGCGGAACGGTAGCCGTAAAAACACACAATAAATGCCACAATAAAACATGTGTTATGTTTACAAGATATAGACATCAAGAGACAAATATATAGTGTCTGTGAGTGAGCGGTGAGAGAGAGAGAGAGACAGAGATAATGAGTTGACAGCCTATGAGAGCGATGGGAACGACAGTTTACCGGCAATGGACAGGCGTTCAGTCATCGAATTGAATCAAATATCTTAAACACGTTTGTTGGCTATTGAACACAATATACTCGTTATAATTCAGTTCATTATACACGTCGCTGGCATCGGACTGTTGTTGGCGTACGGGTGCGCCCATCGGAACGGTACGACCTACCAGTACAGACACATATGAATACTAAATACCAGTGCCACTAGACTTCAGCCATACCTTTCCAGTAGACACAGGACTGCGGGTCCGGTATGTGTTGAGTGTGCGATGTCTTCACGCTATGTCTGTCGGCGTTCAACACAAATGGTTTGTCGGACAGGTCTCGGGTGCGGACGTCCTGTACGGCACCCAACGATACTTCGCATAAAAACGCAAACTTTTGTCCGTAAGAGTCGGCGCCGAACGCACCGGTAGAACAGTAGGACTGACTTTTGGCGAACATATCGGCGAAATATATTCCCTACGAAAGCAAATAAACCATAAATTAGTGCACAAGTCATCAAATTAGAGTGCAT